AAAAACTGTTTTATTTATAAACCTGTAGCACTTCATACTGCTGATGGTATGTGCTATTAAGTCTTAACTGGGGTTTCCTTTGGGAAGTAGGCCTTGGATTGGGCATTTCTGAGTAACCGTGGAAAGATCCTGTGGGTTTTCCTTTGTGAACAAGTCCTGTTTTTTGGGGTCAGGTCTATCTATACCTCCATATCCAATAAGGAAGGAAGTAAAGCCAGGGGTTGTGGGGACTCCATGAGTGTCAAATGGAATTTTTATGAGATTATCCTAATCTCATTCCAATTATTTCATCAAGGTGTCTACATCAGGATGAGGAATTTGTGTTTTCTGTTTCTAACTGTAAAAATGTCATGAGAGTGTTGATGGCATCTGCCTTTGTCTACCTTCACAAGTGGGGGAGGAAAGAGAATCAAGATCAATGTCAGCCCAGAGCTGATTCTTATAAGGTAGAGGTCAGACATACCTCTATCTCTTACAACCTTTTTTTACCAATTCTGACACCAGCCATCCCTCCCATGGGACTCTACTTCCCTACTGTGTTTGATAATTCATTGCAGTGACCACATAGAACTCACAGACAGTACTCAGAGTTGCAGGGTTTATTAGGGAAGTTGTTGTTGTTATGTGCTGTCAAGACGGACCCGACTCATAGCAACCCCTCCTTGGGTTTCTGAGGCAGTACCACTATAGAAGTAGATTGCCCAGCCTTCTCTCTGAGGAGTGGCTGGTGGGTTTGGACCACCTGCCTTCTGGTTAGCAGTCAAGTGCCTTAGGCACTACACTATCAGGCACTACTCAGGATATAGTTCTTTTGTCAGGACAGCTTCTTCTCAACCATGCCCACAGGCTAATCTGGCCCTTGGTTCCTCAACCTCATGGCCTCTGCCTTCTTGGACAAGTATTGTTATTGTAGTTAGCTGCTGTCAAATCTGCTGTAGTCTTTAATCTTCATCAGTAAGTGCTTCAAGTCATCTTCACTTTCAGCAAGCAAGGCTTTGTCATTTCTATATCTCAGGTTATTAATGAGTCTTCCTCCAATCCTGATGTCACGTTCTTCTTCATATAGTCCAGTTTCTCAGATTATTTGCTCAGCATAAAGATTGAATAAATATAGTGAAAAGATACAACCCTGACACACATCTTTCATGATCTTAGATCACATAGTGTTTTCCTGATTTTAAGCCACACAGTATTCTTCTTCTGTTCTAATGACTGCCTCTTGGTCTGGGTACAGGTTTCTCATGATCACAGTTAAGTTTTCTGGAATTTCCATTCTTCGCAATGTTATCCATAATTTGTTATGATCCACACAGTTGAATGCCTTTGCACAGTCAATAAAACACAGGTAAACACTTTTTCTGGTTTGCTCTGCTTTCAGCCTAGATATATCTGCCATCAGCAATGATCTCTCTTTTTCCAATCCTATTCTGAATCTGGCTTAAATTTCTGGCAGTTCCTTGTCAATACTGCTGCAACCTTTTTTGGACTATCTTCAGCAAAATTTTGCTTGCATGCGTAATTAATGATATTGTTCAATCATTCTATTGGATCACCTTTCTTGGGAATGGGCACAAATATGGATCTTTTATAGTTGGTTTACCAGGTAGCTGTCTTCCAATTCTTGATGTAGACAAGTGATCACTTCCAGTCTTACATCCATTTTTGAAATATCTCAGTGGGTATTCCATCAATTCCTGGTCCCTTGTTTTTTGTTAATGTCGTCAGTGCAGCTTGGCCTTCTTCCTTCAATACCATCAGTTGTTAATCATATAATACTTCCTGAAATGGTTGAATATTGACCAATTCTTTTTATGCAGTGACTCTGTATTCCTTCTATCTTCCTTTGATGCTTCCTGCATCGTTCAATATCTTAGCCATAGAACCCTTCAGTATTGCAACTTGAGCCTTGATTTTCTTTCAGGTTCTTTCAGCTTGAGAAATGCCAAGCGTATTCTTCCATTTTTATTTTTTTAAGTCCATATCTTTTTATATTTCATTATAGTATTTTGCATTGTCTTCTTGAGCTGCCCTTTGAAATCCTTTATTCAGTTCTTTTATTTCATCAGTTCTTCATTCATCTTGGCTACTCTACATTTAAGAGCAAGTTTCAGAGTCTCTTCTGACAACCATTTTGGTCTTTTCTATCTTTTGTTCGTTTGTTTGTTTTTTATTGTGATTTGGGTGAAGATTTACAGAGCAAATTCACTTTCCATACAGCAGTTCACATATACTTTGTCTCATGACATTGACCACAGTTTACCACAATGCAACAGCTCCCCTCCCACTTCCTCCCCATAGTTACCTCTTCCCTGTGTCCATCCCTCCATGGACTCCTGCCCCCTGAGCTATCTCCCTGTGCATAAGCAGCCCTTCTTTCTCCCATGATTGTTCTCTCCAAGGAGAGTATCTACTTGAGGTAAATGTTCAACTCATATGCCTGTCTTTTGTTTGGCTGGAAGCCACAGGTGTGGGTTCAATTCCAGACCTGAAGGGCAGTTAGGGGCCATAGTCTCAGTGGTTCCACCAGGCTCTATCGGACCAGCAAACCTGGTCCTCCCTCCCCTTTATTTTTCTCGAAATGATTTTGAGTTTTGTTCCACATTGTTCTCCCTCTCTATCAAGGATCTCCTATATAGATCCCCTTCCAAGTGGATGACAGTGGTAGCTAGGCACCATCTAGTTCTTCTGGTCTTATAGTCGTATGGGCTGCAGATTCTTTTCTATCTTTTTAATGATCTTTTACTTTCTTCATATATGATGTCCTTGATGTCATCTCATAACTCATCTGATCTTTGGTCATAAGTGTTCAGATGTATTCTTGAAATGATCTCTAAATTCAGGTGGGATATGCTAAAGGTCATATTTGGGTTCTCATGGACTTGTTTAATTTTCTTTAGCTTCAGCTTGAACTTGCATATGAGTAATTGATGCTTTGTTCTGCAGTCAGCCTCTGGCTTTGTTCTGACTGATGACGTTGATCTTCTCCATCATTTTTTTCCACAGAAGTAGTTGATTTGAATCCTGTGTATTCCACCTAGTGAGGTCTATGTGTATAGTCGCCATTTATGTTGTTGAAGAACGGTATGTCCAATGAATATGTCGTTAGTCTTGCAAGATTCTGTCATGCAATCTTCAACATCATTTCTGTCACCAAGGCCATGTTTTCTTGTTTCCAACTTTTGCATTCCAATCACTGGTAATTATCAGTTAATCTTGATCGCATGTTTGATCGATTTCAGACTTCAGAAGTTGGTAACAATCTTTAATTTCTTCAACTTTGACATTAGAATTGATGCATACATGTATTACAAAGCTCTTTAGCCCTCCCAATAATTGCCCAGAGGCACCCTGGAGGCACCATATGCTGCCATCAAGCCTGAGGGTGCTCAACTCTCTTTCTCCATGGGTCTGCACACTGAAGTATCTCTTTCTCCATGGGTCCTTGCTTTATAGGCCAGGAGGCCTACCACACCATCTCTTGCAGTCTTTAGTATTACAGCTTCTGTCACCGGGATCTAAGAGGTTCTCAGTGCAGGGGCCCTAGGTCCAAAGGACAAGCTCTGCTCCTGACTCTTCCTTCTTAATGATAGTGAGACCCTTCCTCTTGCCTCTAGGATGAGCTTCTATTAAGCCTAGCAGGATGGTAAAACTAACCAATCCCCTTGTTAGGGTTCCATATACTACATTTGCATGGTCCCATCCCCATAAGGATTCCATGCACCTTATTTGCATTATTAGTAGGCTGTCCAATCTCCGTGATGGGCCACAAACACCTTATTTGCATAGTTTCCCCAATCATTGTGTGGGAGTCATAAAGACTGGCTTGATGAGCCATTTTAAGTAATTCACCACCACAGTGAATGTTTGCAGCTTTCTCGGGATTACCCTTCATACAAAGAGACTCTAATGCTTCAGAACTTAACCATTGAAGTATAGTATTGTTTCTCCATTTTCTTTTTAGCCCAATCACAAAGAATACCTAGGAAAGGAGTTTATTCTTACATATTTAGGCTTTCAGCCTTCTCCACTAAGCCCTTCTTCCCCTTCAATGCAGAGAATGTCACTATAAAACAAACCTACTACTATCCCCTGGTTTTGTTTTGTTCTTATCTTGGTCTAGCTATATAGAGTCACAAGCAAATAATTTCCACATTGCCCTAACCTTAACAGGACTTTCCTCTGGGGCCACTGTGAGTTATGAACACCTGGCTTCTGAACAGCTAGCTTATGTACAACCTGTAGATATGAACTAATCTGACATAAAGCTATTATATTAAAAATTTAAGGTACAAATGATGGTTTATAATAATAAATAGGTGCTACTTTGCGATGTGCATCAAAACATTATTACTATTATTACTGTATTCTTATGTTAAAGATGTCATAGTGTATTTGGAAGTGTCTTTAATTTTTTTTTTTTTTTTTTGCACAGAAAGTACACTGTATACTAAGACAAACATTTGACTAACATCAGCTACAAACCATACCTAATGTTCCAACTTTTATACAAATTCAACTTAAAAGACAAACTCAGGAACAGAGCTTGTTCATAACCCAAAGACTGCCTGTATAATGACAGCTAAATGACAATGTAAAGCCCTTGCAAAGCATAGCACTTTCTGAATGGTAGTACTTGTCAAGAAGAACTGTTTTTCCTCTCTCAGGAACTTTATTCTGGGGTCTGGTTATGTGTGTGGATGTAAGGGGGATTAGAAAAGAAAGAACTTGTCATGTGGGAGAGTGTTACTTTAGTGAGAAGGATATTTTACCACTTTAAAAATAGTTACCGAGATTCATTTTAGAATTTCTACCCTTTCCACAAGTGTGAATCTCCTGTGTGCTTTAATAGAAAGCAAGCTTTGTCTAATTTAGTAAAACATACAATCATTTCTTTAGGAAAGTAAGGAATCCTTTTCCCTTCAAATTTGATATTCCACCTTGGAAACTCAGATAGATGTTTTAAAACCTTGAGAGCCATAACACCTGTCCTTTTGTTGCAGGTGCAACAATGAAAGCGAGTGGTCCCAGATCCATGAGAACATCATCCGAAAGTCAAGTGCCAAGTACTCTGCCCCCAGCGCCAGCCACGGTGATGTACTTCTCTACCTAGAGAATTTTGTGTTGCTTTTGCAGTTGCTGTTCATACATTTCCTTGATGGGTTGATGGTGATTGGCTGCCATTTGTAAAGTTTAATTCCCTACAGACGTTTATTCTCCTGCCCAGGCATTTTCTACTATTTCTTTTTTGTGATAATTTACCTACTTACTGATGACCAAAATACAGTATCTATTGTTTTTGTGATTGATTCCATGTGCTTTGATAGATATCTTGAGTTCCAGTTTAAATCCAGAGTGTGCACAAGTGTTGTAGAGTTTGTCATGTTGTGAAGTTCTGTGTTTTCCTGAACAAAGATGAAACACCCTGCCAAAAGAAAGAGACAAATACTAATGTCACTTCCCATTCTTTTCTATTCAGTGTTAGCATCACCAAGAGAATCTGACACTAATGAGAATCAGTGATTAGTGTGCCAGTATCAGTCATTGTGGAACTAGAATAGAAAATCTTTACTGCAAATCAGCTTTCATCTCACCTCAACTTCTCTCCCTTTACCCTCATTTTCTTTTAAGTAATTTCTATCTAAATATCAATGCAAATCTACACATTAGAAAGGTTGTGTTTTCTAAATTGAAAAATTAATTGCTTGATTAAATTAGAAGCACTATTTAAAAGCCTATGAGCTTTTATATACTCTTGCAGATAGCTATCAAATTTACATAAAACCATGTTTCTCCTGACAGGGACTAAATCATTTCATAACCTCTTTTATATAACCGTCTTTCTTTCAACATTCATGGACTTTGTTGGAAATAAAAAGTTGACCTTGAATAGCATTATAAAGGCATGATGTTTTCTAAACAGTGGTACTTAAGAGGAACTTTTTTTCTCTATCAGAGTCAGCAGATACTCAGCTAGGAGAGTCGTCAGCAGCGCCACAGTGTGAGGCCCTCAGCTGGGAGTGCTTAATTCTTTAAACTTCTGCAGTGTGTTCTCAAGCCTCTCTCACTATTGATAAATGACTATTTTCTCTTATCTATGTACCTACTTGCCAAGAAGCTTTGTGTAGTTTATTCAGTGAGGAAGGGGTCCATATTCCTGACCTAAAACAAGGCAAAAGCGAAAAGCAAAAATAAAATCTTGTTTTTAAAATTCAGAAAAATTACTAGTGACTTTGAAAATGCCATTTACATTAATATATGTAGCCAAGGGCACCTCTTTGCTTTATTTACTTATTTGATTTACAAAGAGCCTTTGGCTACACATGATTGCATCAGGATATCACTAAAACATGGAGAACATTTTGAAAGAGTGATGGTGGTATCAACACATAAAAATAATGAGTACTTCTGGTAAGATGGCAGAATAAGCAGACAAGCTACACAGACCATCTACAATGAAAAAACAAGAAACCAGTTGAAACAGATACAGAAAATCATTCTGGAACCCTGAGCTTTGAAGGAAAGGATAAAGAACTGAATTAAATATCAACTAGTAGAAGAACCTGAATGAAAACAGTGAATAAGGAGGCAAACTGAGGCTGTCCTAATGGCATGGCCATTTTGAATATTTATAAGTGGCATTCTTATCTGAGCATCAATCTAAGAATTAGCTCTGCTTGCTAAGAACTTCAGAGGCAATTGCACTGGTGGCTGATGACTAGAAAGGAAAACAGTGAAAAAGGAGACAAACAGAGCTATGGACTGTCGGGTGTCCTGAGGTTGCAGCCATTTTTAATATTTGCAAGCAGCATGTCTATTTTCAATAACTGCAAATGATGATCCAGGCAGCAACCTAAGAATAAATTCCACTTGCAGAGGACAACATGGGCAACCTTACTGGAGGTTGACAACTAGAAAGATGCAGTATCCCCCTTGTCACCCTTATACCCCATACCCTCTTAGTGAACAGAGGTATGACCATCCCCACTTCTACCCATTTTCTGGACTGGCAGGAATTCCATCCCAGTCTGGCCTCCTTGCAATCAGCTGCCTTCTGGGCAGACAGGAACTAATGGATCCCAGCACTAGCTGCTCTGTTCCCAACCACTTTTGGGGCTAGCAGGAATTTTTTCTGAGACTGAATACCCTATATCCAGCAGACTTTTAGGATGGCAGGAAGTTTTTTTTTACTAGAAACAGGACCTGCTCCCAGTTACCTTTTGAGATGGCAGAAATTTTTCTGGGTCTACAAGTCCTATCCACTGTTGCTTTTTGAATGGCTGGAACTACCTGTAGAACTAGGTGCCTTGTTCCCAATCACCTTTTGGGCTGGCAGAAATTTTTTCTGGGTCCAAGAGCCCTGCCAACAGACACTGTCTGGATTAGCAGGAACTAGCCTGAAATCAAGGGCCCTGACTCCATTTGCCTTCTTGGTAGATAGGAACTAGCTCCAAGATCAGCCACCCTGCTCCCAGGAGCATTTTGGACTAGGAAGAACTTTTTCTGGGTCCATGTGCCCTAAACTAAGCCCTCCTTTGGGGATGTAAGGAACTTTTTCTGGGAGTAGGGGCCCTACACCCAGCTGCCTTTTGGGACAGCAGGAACTTTTTCTGAGACCAGATACCCTATCCCAAGCCACATTTTGAGCAGATGGGAATTCCTTCTGAAATCAGGTGACTTGCTTCCACCACCATTTGGGTGGGCAACAACTTCTTCCAGGTCCAGACACTTTGCCCTCAGACATCTTCTGGGTCAACAGGAACTCTTCTGAGAACAGGTATCCTGCCTCAGTTCCCTTCTGGACAGGCAAGAACTAGCACCAGGAGCAGATGCCCTGCTTCCCATTGACTGTTTGGCCAGCAGAAACAGAACTGAGGGGCCCAGCCTCACTGAGTTTTGTTTTCAAAAATTATTTCTTTCTTTTTCTTCCTTCCTTCCTTTCTTTCTGTTTTTCTCTTTGCCTCCCCTGGTTCTTGTTTTCCTTCCCTTTTTCCTAGTTTCTTTCATTTTTCTTCTTCTCTTTTGGTTCTTCCACCAGCCACTCCTTGGAAGGTAGATGGGACAATCTACTTCTATAGCAATACTGCCTTGAAAACCCAAGGAGGGGTTGCTATGAGTCAGGTCTGACTCGACAGCATGCAACAACAACAACAAAATCCCTTGCTTGTATTTTTGCATTTTTCTTTATTCCCCCCTACTTGGATATTGTAAAGTTTTTTTCTCTTTTCCTTTTTGTCTTTCTTTTCTCTTTCTCTTTTTTTCCTTTTCATTTGTTGCCTTTTTTTTTTTTTTTGGTAATTGTTGCTGTTTGTTTATGTGGTTTGTGGTTTTGTTCTCGTTTTTGACTTTTTGGTGTGTGTGCTTTCTGTCTAACCAGGTAGGAGACAGCAAGATAACTCACACAACCCAACAACACCTGCACCGCCTCCTGCAGCCCCACCCACTGGGTGAGGACCATTACTTGCTTCTGCACCAACTGATCAATGATAGACAGAAGCCAATACAAGGCTAACTCATCCTCACTACTCTTCGTGATAGCTAACAGAGATCTGTGTACACACTCTCATCCTCTGTTACACCCAACAGGAGACAGGCTATGAGTACCCAAATGCTGCCAAACTAGCAAATATAGTAGAAATATAAATACAATGACATCACAATGTGTTGGAGACAACTGACCATCCTAGTTCACACAAAGAGGTGAGGTAAAGTAGTACAAGCAAGAGGCAAGGATACAGACCCAGAAAACCTCCCTGATGAAGAAGCAGCATTGGAATTCCTGATAAGGGATTCAGAAGAATTATATTTAGGGAGCTCTGGTAGCAGAGTGGCTAAAAGCACTTGACTGCTAACCAGAAGGCTGGCAGTTCAAACCCACCAGCCACTCCTCGGAAGGAAGGTTGGGCAATCCTACTTCCGTAGTGATACTGCCTCGGAAACCCAAGGAGGGGTCGCTATGAGTCGGGGCCGACTCGACGGCACATAACAACAACAACAACAACAACAACCTTCAACAGGTTGAGAGTTAGATCAAGGAAAGCACTGACAAATTTTTAAAAATCTAGAACAACTTAGGAAAACAATACAAGAACAAACTGACAAATGAAAAATTAGAAACCATACAAAAACAACAAATAGAAATCTAGAAGATTAATACTAAGAGATCTGAAATAGATAATACACTGAATGGTCAAAAGAGTAGAATCAAATCAATGGAAGACAGAATTAGTGAAATTGAAGAGAAATCCCTCAATACTACTTTGTTAAGGGATCAGTCAGAAAAAAAAAGTTCAAAACAAAATGAAGAAAGCCTAAGATTCATGTAGGACACCATCAAGAGGAATAACTTTTTTATGATTGGTATCCCAGAACAAGAAGAGACAAATAAAACCACAGAGAAAATTGTTGAAGATTTGTTGAAAGAGAACTTCCTAATATGAAAGATGAAAAGATATCTGTTCAAAAAGTTCAGTGAACCCCAAACAGGGTAGAACCCAAAAGAAAATCACCAAGGCATATCATAATCTAACTCACCAAAACCAAAGACAAAGAAAGAATCCTGAAAGCAGCACAGGAAAAACACAACGTTACCTACAAAGGGCAACCAAAATCAGCAGCCAACATTATTCTCAATGGTGAGAGACTTAAAGCATTCCTCTTGTGAACAGGAACCAGAAAAGAATGCCCTCTATCACACCTTCTATTAAACATTATATTGGAAGTCCTAGCCAGGGCAATAAGGCAAGGAAGGGAAATCAAAGACATCCAAATTGGTAAGGAAGAAGTAAAACTATCCCTATTTGTAGATGATATGATCCTATACATAGAAAACCCGAGAGACTCAGCAAGAAAAGTACTGGAACTATTTGAAAGATGTGGCATACAAAAGTCAGTCAGATTCCTCTACACAAGCAAAGAGATCTCTAAAAAGGAAATGAGGAAATCAATACCATTTACAAGACCTACCAACAAAATAAAATACTTGGGAATAAATCTTACCAAGGACACAAAAGACCTGTATGAAGGAAACTAGAAAATACTACTTCAAGAAACTATAAGAGATTTACATAAATGGAAAAACATACCATGCTC